CCCAGTAGTGGACATGGTGACCCCGTTGCAGGTTTTCTTCTGGATCGGGAAAGGCGCCAATGAGTCAGAGAAGGAGGCAGCAGCGGTGATGGCGCAGGAGTACTTGCGGAGCCACCCCAGTGGGCGTGACCTTGACACCCCCATCATTGTGGTGAAACAGGGCTACGAGCCCCCCACCTTCACTGGCTGGTTCCTGGCCTGGGACCCTCTCAAGTGGGCCGTGAGTTGTGGACTAGGGGAACCCTTCACAAATGGGGATGAGATCTGGATCTGTCCCCAACCAGCAGATTTGGGGTGTGGATGGTGGTTTGCCCTGATCCTGCCCATGCCAAGGGGCTGAGCCCTTTTGTCCCCTTCCCAGGACAAGAAATCCTACGAGGAGCTGCGAGCCGAGCTGGGGGATGAGAGCAGCCTGGGGCAGCTCACCTCAGTAAGTGTCACAGGGAGAGGGGGTGGCCAGGGCAGGAGGGGGAACAGAAAGCCCCTCCATCCCTTGGCAGGGGGCGTGAGGAGCTGCAAGGACACATCCTCCAGTGAGGGGACACCTGGAGTCATCCTGGTGCCTCCATTCCTGGGGACATGGGGCAGCCCCTGATGTGACTCTGTCCCCCCCGATCCAGATGCTCACATCCAAGCAAGAGGTCTTCACCACCACCACCACCCTCCTCCCTGACAAACTGGAAACCTTCCCCCTACACGTGCTGGTGAACACATCAGCCGAGGACCTGCCACAGGGTGTGGATCCCAGCAGGAAGGAGGTGAGCAACAGCCAGGAGGCTGCTGGGGGGAGAACAGGGGAAGGCCCCCAGCTTTACTTCAGCCTCCTCTCTCCTCCTTCAGTACCACCTCTCCGACCAGGACTTCCAGGCTGTTTTCGTCATGAGCCGCTCAGCCTTCAGCAACCTGCCCTTGTGGAAACAACAGAAACTCAAGAAGGACAAAGGACTCTTCTAGGGCAGGAGCTTGTGCCCGGGGACACCCCTAGCTCTTTAGTCTAAATAAATAAAATTTATCTGGGGCGTGGAGCTGCATCTTCCCTCCTGGACTCAGCCCAGTCACGGGGCTTATTTGGCAAAGAGACAGCATGCAGGGGGACATGGGACTTGGCACAGTTGGAAGGACGCTTAGCTTCTTCACCCCCTCTGCGCTCAGGGGCAGCCCCAGAGAGCCAGGGCTCCCCCCGCACCCCAGCACACGCAGCTCAGGACCAAAGGTCTGTTATACAGCTGCAGCCGCTCCCTCTGTTATCGTGCGAACCTCAGTAAACACGTGCGGTACCGAAGGTAAAAGCAACAAGCCAGAGGCTGAGGGGATGTCCCGTGCGTGGGGACAGACACCAGGGACCAATTGTCCTTTTCCCAGGAGGGCAGGAAGGCATCAACCTCCTGCTTGGGATCTGCTGGGGACCCAGAGAGAGGCTGGGGGGTCCCCTGCAGGGGGGCCAGGATTTGCATGTGCCAGGAAGCGCCGAACACACACACACACGCGCGATGTTCCTGGGTAACTGAGCAAAGTTCCAACAGCAAACACAGGGCAGAGGTGTGGTGCCCCTCATCTGCGGTGTTTAACGGGCAGCAGTCCAGGCAGCATGGAAATAAGATCCCAAACCAAGAGAGGGTTAATAAAGAGGTTTTAATTTCACAAAAATCTATCTACACATCATTTAAAAAGGGGCAGGGGGAACCCAAGAGCAAAAACTGTAAAGAATAGAGAGGAACAGGTCTGCTAAAACACAGAGAAAAGTGCTGCTCCACATCAACAGTGTAAAGAACCAGAAAGTCAGGGTGCAGGCAGAAACCGGCAGCGGCCACCCTGCGGCAGGCAAGGCTGGAGTCTGGCAGCAGAGCTACATGGACAACAGCTGCCAGGGGTCCCGCACCCCTTTTTCTCTCTTTGGCGGGCAATTATAGGGATAATTAGCTCCATTAAAAAGAAAACAAAGCAGATGAGTTATTCCCAGCCCCTTTCCCCCCCCTTCTCCCTGAAGCAGAGCGATCCCCACACCGGGGTGAAGTGCAGCAGGACGCACTGGGCTGGCCATCAGCCCTTCCGCGGGATGGGAAGGAAGATGCACAGGCGACGTTTATCCATGCTGCACAGGAGGCGGAAGGTGATGCCACAGCCACAGGGGGAGAGCCCCGCTCCTCCTCCTCCTCAGCTCCTCGTAGGCGGCTGCGTTGGTTGGGAAACCAGTCCTTGCTTTGCAAAGGCTCTTTGTGTAACCCCGCTGGCCAGGGCTCCCCGGGGACCCGCGCACACAAGCTCCAATTCATTGACAGGAAAGGTTTTGCACCTCTCGGAGTAGGGGAATAAGTCAAGACCAAATTATCGCAATCAAACAACGAAGGGGTGAAAGGAATGGCAAGATGGGAGTTCCTTGTGTTTACATGCTGAATCACAGTTCGACTAAACTAAGCTGATTCAGGAGCGGGTAAATGTTTAACCTCTGTATATCTGAGGAAGAGCCTGCACGTGTTCAGGGACCACAGCTGAACTTCTCCACCTGGAAAGGATGACCTTACTGAACTCGCTGCTGCGACAGCACGAACAGTGGGAAGGCTACAGCTGGTGGACATCACACCCCTCAAGGATTACGCACCCGTCTTTCTCCCCACTGTACTCAGACAGGGAGAAAGCCGGCTTCTGCAAGGAAGGGGCTCTGTGGACACTTCCTGCCAGGCTGAAGGTGCAACTGAGCTGCCTTATGCCAAACAAAAAAAGCTTAAAGTAATTAACAGATGTCTGCAAATTCTTAATGGGTAGAATAATAAGCAAGAATTTTTCACAAAACAAGGAACACTGGTTTCAAGCATCAGCTTTCGCACCTTGATCCAACAAGAACTGGTTTTAAACAAAAGTTTGAAGGCTGACTGAAAAGTCGCACAGTGTTTGCTTTTATTATAAATTAACTGGAGTGCAGAGCCTTGCAAAAACAACCTTGCCACCCGAAAGAGCAGAGCTGACTTCTGATACTACAGGAACACCAGCTATTTACAGCACTAGCACAGGATGCATTTGGGGAAAACAGATTTGCCCTCTGGATGGAGCAGTCCCTTCATCACATTCGCAGGGGCAATCAGTTCAAAGGACAACTCCCGCACCACCGCCTCTCCCCACTGCCCAGAATTCTACCAAAATTAGTATTGACAATAGAAAAGTATAATGCTTTGTAATAAATTAACATATACACCCACTCGGGCTGCATCTGAACAAGATAAACATTCTGTCATGTTTACAACCAAACATTCGTTCCTAGCTCGGAAACCAGAAAGATGTCACCCTGACCCGCTCCACTGGGCATCCGACAGATGGACTGGAAGGTCAGTCAGTCTTTTCACCACACTGGGGTCCCCAAAGTGCTCAGCCTGGGGAGAACTACCAGCAGCTGTCACTCTCTGTGTCACCCACCGAGGTGAGAGGAGGCCACTGAGGTAGCATCCCTGTGCCAGCCCGCCAGGATGGAAGTGTGGAAGTGCCCAAGAAAGAGGTGCCCGCTGTCTCCTAAATCGATGGGTTTGTCTGCTTTGCTTCAGCTGATTTATTCCTGAGAAACTCCTAACGATAGTTTAAAAAACCCAGAATCTCTCTCGACAGCAAAAAAAAGGTGGGTTTTTTGTTTTGTTTTTTAAAAAGTATTTCACCTCTAAAAATCAAGCTGCAAAAATCAGAACTAGAGGCCAAAACAAAAGCAACTACACTGCTTAACAGTAACAATTTCTCTGAAATGAGTAAATGCTACCAAAAGGAAACATCTGCCCATGCTAAATAAGTGCGAAGGTGCTGAAAAAAAAAAGAAGTCGCTAGGCTTTTCCCCTTGCTGAAACAAGCTATAAAAGGAGCATCACGTCTCTAAATCCAATAAAACGCAACACTTCTTCCTAACTGCGTTCTGTTAATGCTGAACATGGGCTTTCTGAAAGCTTTCCACCTGGTTTAGTTTCACAGTTTGAGTGCTCTGCACTCCTCAGAAAGGAGAACAGAGGCATAGCTGCAGTAAAAACCCTCTTACCCTGGGATACAGGATGACCAAGGCAAGACCACAGTTCAATCACAGAGCAATTCAAGTCCCAAGCGCTATTCTGCAGGCCCTGCCTTCTCCCACCATTCCCGTTTCACAATGACCCAGGCCTGCGCAGAAAGGTTAACGCTAGAATGCTCTGTCCCTCCCAGATGACGACAAGTGGTTGTTGCGCACCTCCTGCTACTGCTCTCAGTCTGCTCCAGGCATTTACCTACCCCCAGAGTTACATCGAAGCAGCCCTAAGCAATAAAACTTCAGTGCGAAATACTTCAACACCCAAAGAGAGACCTCTCCTCTCCAAGCAGTACTTAGGCAACAACCTTATGAAGAAAATGCAATGAAATAATAGAACTTGTAAAACAAAAGAAATCACATATATCTCACATCTAAAGGAGGATGACAGTGAATGATGTAAAAAACCCAAACAAAACTATGACAGAGCTGCCACCAGGTATGCAATACATTCCACAGCACCAACAGTTTGTTTCCTGGAACCATATGTAAATAGTGGAGCGCTTACAAACCCATGAATGTCAAAACGCATCAGCTTGAGTGATTCCAAAACGCCTGTTAGCGAGATGACTGGCAAGAGCGTACTCGGTGATCTGGGTTTCCAGTGAATATTACTAACACAACACATGCCAGGTTACAGAATCTATTGCTTAAATTGCTCTTGGAGAGAGAGGGGGGGAAAAAAAAAAAGCCAAGTGATATGTAAATCTTTGCCACTCACATCTCACAGGTGAATGGGCTTTTAAAGTTGAGTCTCTTTTTGCACTTTTTTTTTTTTAAATCAGTTTATGAGCAGCTGTAGTCTTGTGGCTTGATGCAACTCTTTAAGGCTCCATGCTGACAAAATTATTTGAGGAACAATAAAAACTTCACCACAGGAGGATCACTCTGGGATGCCAAGGTTTAAACGCATGGTTCAGGCCCAGGACTTGCACAGATGGTTCAACAAACTGAGAGTCCCATACTTCTACCTTTTGTCTCTTGTTTTGGCCCTGAGCTGTTTGCTGCTCCTGCGTGTCTGGCATAAGTTCAGAATCCTCCTTGCTCCTCAGGAGGAACAAGGTGTTTTTACTTTTCACAGAGACTGACGAACCGATCTTCCAACTTCCATGCTAAGTGGCTGTGCATTTTTTTCTGTTTCTAGTAGCTCATCGAAGATATCCCTACGACAGAGGGAAAGACCAATGGTGAAACTTACATACAACAACAAACTGCTACCTCAGACAGCCCCGAGGGAATCAGCAACTGGATTTAATCCACAAACTCAAGCATCATGGATCCTGGCAGAGAAAGGTGTCTTATCTGGCATCTCTAAGCAAGGTTCCTTGAATCTCAAAGCACTTTTTTTTTTTTCTTTTCCAGTTATTACAACAAAAAAGGTCAGTGGTAAGCCTCAGAGAACAGAAACAATAGTGAAAATAAGTCCTGGCTGGTAAAAGGATCAGAAGCAACACAAGAAAGTCTGTAGATAAAGTAATATCCTTTATTAGAGCAACTAGTAAAGACAGAAGAAGGGGACAAACTGAGGCACAAAACCCCTTCTTCAGTTCTCAGTGTCTGAAAAGATATCACTTCTACGTACAAAGCCCATCTTGCCCATGTCCCAAGACGACCACGGCAGCAACAACACAACGGCTAGGAGCAGGGATAAGGGCATTTACAAGTATCACAGCACTTACGGAAAACACAAGCTCCATCATGATTCCTGGTGCAACGAATGCATAGCTGAGACACTGAATCCCCTTCTTAAAAGATGATTTAATGGATCTTGTTAAAACCCTACGTATTAGTGACATACAATTCCATGCCTTTGAACTCAGAGCATTTCAATTTTGTTATTCTTGCATATATTTCCGACTACAATTTCGTCTGACAAATACATGGAGATGCTTTTCAATCCAGCAAATAGGACTAGAAGGAAAGCCCACTTCCTCACAAGCAGCAGGTAGTTACTAGCACCAAAATTCCCCAAGACACCTACTTGTGCATGTAGAAGAAGATATAGCCACTTCGGTCTCTGTCACACTGAACGGTGGCCTCTAGAGTTCTAGACACTTCCAGATCATTGTAGGTGAACCAGGACTGCTTCTTGATATCATAGACATCACTGATATAATGACCTTAAAAACAGAGAACACACCTTTCTTTTCATGCTGCAGTTCAACCAGTAAGCTGGTTAGCTATATACCCTGGTCCAGCAACCTGTGTCAAATTTAAATGCTAAAACACCCTTAAGATCCTGGTCCCTCCACCCTTCCTGGTCAATGAGCTGGTAACAAGCACAAGCAATTCCACAGACCCCATAAGCAGTACTTTGTCCACACGCTGCAGTTAGGCTCCACGACATCCTCAACCTGCTCCCCCACCAGCAAGCCACAATGGAAGGCTTGCTTTGCTGCCTGAATTCTTCTCTGCAAATAATCCTACTATGGTAATTCTGTATTACAGATTTTTTTTTAAGCTAGATAAGAGATAAAGAATAAAATACAGTATCTTTTACCTGAAGATGATGTGCTTCCGATATGGCTGACGATGCTGATGAGACGGTAAGAGTGAGGAAGCTCTCCTGTCTGAAAGTAAAGTCCAATTAAAGCTTTTAGACATTCACTTTTGTCCCATGTAGTTACAGACAAGATGATTTATACCAGAGATAGTATCTTTGGCTACTGAATTCAAAGCTGCAACCCAATCAAGGATTACAGAAACAGACACTCTGGTTCAGACCAAAACGAAAAGTCCTTCCAGAAGCAGGAAAAAGCTTCCAATCTTGTTTATTCTTTCAGCAATCCGATGGAAATGCAAAGGAGCCACTCCGACCTCAGAACAGATGCTGACACAAGCTCTAGACTGCAAAGTTTTCTAAACAATCATTTCCTGAGCAACTTCCACTGATGTCAGAATTAATCCACCAAATAAATATAGAAAAGCAAAAAGGGCACACCATGCACACTTCTGCAATATCAAAGAAATACCGTTGATAATGGTACACAGATTTAGCAGCTAATACTGGATATATAGCCCAGATTCTCTCGTCCTTCACCTGTAATGTCAGCAGACAATGCCCTCTTTGCATGCAGGAAACATGCTCTGACAATAAAACTAAACGATGGTAATTGGCTTTTGACAATTATTTTTTAATCCTCTCTGACCAGGAAACATTATTGATATGATTCACTGACAATACTCTTAAAACGTAACTCTTGGTTTAAGGGTCAGGAAATTGGTAAAGAATTGTAAGAAAATCAAAACTGCTCAAGGAAATGCCAATTATTTAACCTTTTCCACTTTACACAGTATTCCTTCCAGGGAGGCTAGCGGGCAACTTCCACAGCACTGCTGCGTGGAGCCTGGGAGTGCTAGCAGCTGGCAGCACAGCCTAGGTCACAGTCACATTTCACCCAATGGGAATAACATCTTGCCACGACTTCTCAGCTCTGGTGGTGCAGGATCTAGGAGCCGGTGATGTTACAACTAAAATAGCATGCTGGCTGAAGTCCTCCCTCTCCGTAAGTAAAAATTTCAGGCCCATTGCTTTACGTGCACTGGAACATTTCTAATATAAAATTAGTTTTCTTTTCACCACTATCCACATCTTAGAGAAACTGAGAGAATCACTGAGAGAATGTTTTGGTTTTTTTGTAAATTAAAACAACACAATAGGACAGACTCTTAAGGATGAAAATTTTCTATCTTTTCACTTTTGAACATAAAACACCTTTTTAGGACCCTACACCTGTTCTGTAAAACTACCTCCAACATGAAATTGACGGTTAAAGAAGGGGTGTATTTCTCAGTTGTTTTTTGAAATCATAGATCGCACCTCAGCATTTCTTTTCAGCTCTTCTGCTTCAGCTTCTGAATACTCCATGTCAAGAACATCCTCATTCCCAGAGTCTTCATCGGAACCAATGCTGTCCAGGAGAGAGCTGTTAAACTCTAGATAGCACGGAAACAACGATACTGCGTGAGAAGCCGTGGTGCACACAGGAATTCAAAACAGGCTGAGCTATATCTACCCGCATCAACAAGTGCAATAAAATGCTAATGTTTCAAACTTCCTTTCCAAGGAAAGTAGGAGATACTGGAATTTCCAAATAAAAATTCACTCTCTCCTTTCCCCAACTTGTCAGAGCAACAGTTAAGAAAAGTATCTTAGACTACGGAATTCATTTCAGCATCATCTCTCTCGTACTTTTACAAAAGGGCACTATGGCAATGACAGCTGGGTTATAAAAGAGCATTTAAACACCCAGTTCGCTCAGAGCACTGGCGGTCTGCAGGCCAGAACCAACATCAACAGAAGTACAGCCAGTCTGGTCACTGAACTGTAAGTTTCTGCAACAAGTAGCTATGGATTACAGTTTTAACTATAAGTTGCATTAACAAAGTGCATTTTTCAATTAAAACTGGCATCAAAATGCTACTGCTGGCAGCAGGCATCTTTTCATTGTTTTCAATGGTAAGAAGGCTGCTCACCACAGGAACTTCCAGTTTGCTTGGCTGAGCAAAATGCAGGCAGCTTTCTGTAAAGAGCCGGAAGGCACCACTGCTCTGTGTACATGCTGTTCCAAACTTCCTGGGATTCTGCAGCTACCCAACTAATTTAAGATTTTGTACAGTACTCATTAGGAGAAATAGCTATGCTTTCACCAGCTAAATTAAAGCTATGAAGTCCTGGGTGGATGAGAAGTTGAGATTAACAGGACACTGCTCAGGATATATCTTATTTTTTTTCTTAAATACATTATGCCAGTTATGATGGAAATGTTTTGCCAAAGAGATTCTCATACTGCTTGCCTTGTTAAACCATCAGACGCTGGATTAGTATAATCTTCTTGGGAAGTTTATAGATGAATCCCTTTAACAGAGAATATTTTACTGCTGGCTTCCACAGTTATTCAGGCTGTTGTAAGCTAGACTACGGCCAAGAAATGCAGCCACTTCGGTAGGTGTCTGCATGAAGCACTTGCCATGGGTATTGCTAAACACCACTTCACCAACGGTCCTCAGATGACTAGTGGTTCTTGGATTGCAGCACCACTGGGTGCTTTCTAAGACAAATACTACCAGCTATATGTTCAAGATTATTAGCACCTCCTTGAACAACTGCTGGCTGATACCTTACAGATAACACAGTAGCAAGCTGAGAAGCACAAGGCAATGCTCATGTTTAAGTCAAGCGACTGCAAATCAGGAGGAGGAAGGATTTCTAGTGCTGAGCTCTTCCCGGCCACAAATCAAGGAAGACCTGAGAGGAACCATGCGCTCAGCCTGCCAGAGCTCATCAGGGGACAGGACTCAGGCTCAGGGACGTCTAAGCAGCATTCAACTTGCTTCAGAAGCAGACACAGGTTCATCCAGTAATACCTGAGGGCCTTTAAAGGTGTCTGAGCAACTATGAGTATCTTAACACAATACTTCAGTACCCCTCCCTCTTTCTCTTTGGAGCAGGAATTTTCTCTCGGTTTTGCTTTGCCCTGCCAGATTGTATGAAATCACTCGCATGCCAGCCTCAGACAAATGTTAAACAGTGCCTGAGGCTCACCACACTGTCTGGATTTGGAAAAGACAGATAGTGTATTTTGGGTTTCTTTTTTCACCCCCAACAGCTATACCTTGCAGTGAGGTCTGTCTCCCTCTCATCCTATATCAGATAGAGCACTTACTCATTTTCCTGGGCAAGGCCAGCACATTCATTAATTAGCACTAAAATAGCAATGCAAGTAAGAAATAATCCTTACATTCTGACTAAATCCATTAGCATGCTGGCTTTTGCTGGGAATGCAAAATTTCAAGGTCCATTTTGCTCTTTCTGTATCAATATTGTATTTTAAACATGTATTATAATTTAATATATATTACATCTCTCTCTCTATATATATCTAATTAAAAACTCAAGAAAATGAAAAAAGTTGGTTTTCAGATTAAGTTTTTCCTGGCATTTGCTTTCACAACCAAAAGCAAGAAAAGCTGACCTGAGAAAAGCCAAACACAACAAAGCACACACCAAAAAGAACATGAAATCCTAGCTGTCTTACAGACACTCAGGAGCTGCATTCATACATACAGATCTATTTTCCCTCAAAAGCAACATCCTGGAAGAAGTTAAATAAGTTTCACCTTGTAGGCTTAATTCCGTGGCTCGTTTAAGGTCATCATCCTCTTTTTGTTCTCGTGCCTCCTGATGGGAAGAGAACAAAACTTAGCTCATTGAGACACTTCACTGTTTAAAATTCTTGTGGTGCTCTTTTTCCATTGAAACTGGGCTGCTCTGGTTTCTACAACAAACCTGACATTGTAAATTAAAAGTTCTGTGTGAAGGAATGTTTGCAACCAGCAAGAGTCCAATGTTCCCGTGCAACAGAACCTGGGACAAACCTTCATTAAGGCTCATCAAAGCTCCTGAAGTTTGGTATGCAGCAGAGCAAGTCTCTGGTAACACCAAACGCTCTCTCTGGATCATTAATTTGAAAAGCATCTGAATGAATTTGCAACCCTTTGCTAAGGAAAGCTGTCACTTACACACAAAACTCCTCACGCTTCCGCAAAATTTAGACGACTTCTGCCCAAAGCCAGCTGAGGACAGAGTCATTAAATCCTGACAGATTTTATTATTTTTAAGCCATTTGAAAGCAGAGCCAGTGGTTCTATGTAACAGGTGTAGTTCACAAAGGCAGGATGCAAAAAAAAAAAAAAGACACCACTAAACAACCAGGTATTAAAAATATTACCATGAACAAGCAGCAAAGAAACCTCAAGTCAACGAGCCCTTGTAATCTTTGGATAATATCACACCCCTGCTCCTCCCACCACTCCTGAAAGCTCAGAGCTACAGCAAGCCAGTCAATAATATTTAATGAGCTGGCTTCTTAATTCAGGGTTTGAATGCTTTCAGTGCACCTGAACGCAGAACCCTAACTATGTATTTCAAATCAAGATAACCACAGCTACCGCATTTCCATGCCTGAATCATTAGAATAGCAGATTTTTGTTTCAGAACTGTAGCAGAACAACACTCAAAGGGCAGTTTTACATTATTAGCATGAGGCCTTTTATCTCACTATTTCTAAAGCATTTGGGAATCTTTGTTGAACTACTCAGCATCGCTGAATCAAAGCTACATCTGGCATGGAACATACCAACCAGCACCTCATTATG